ATTAAAGTTGCGTTGGGCCTTCGAAAACATTCCTGCTGTCCAAGAGGCTAAAAAGAAAGGTTGCTGTTATGCTTGAAACAAGAAAGCTAGCTTATCTCTTCCCTATAGTATTTCTGCGTTCAGTAGAGCAGAGGTTGAATATGAATCGAGTATGAACCAGAAGGATGAAGAAACCACGATTACCAGTAAAGTTCAAAACATCAATCCCTTCAATGAACCGTTCCAAAATGTCAGATTTTAGAGATCGCTTTCGAATTTCTTTCGCAACTTTTCTAATTTATCTGATCGTGTGAGAAAAAAAGATGAAGCAATATGAGATAAGAAGGTTGCCTAGTATACAGTATACCTTACTATGAAGTTATCACTTTGCAAATGTAAACCTAACTATACACGTAGTGAATGTTTAAGGTACACTCATGTTTGGCACTGTTGATTCGTGGTTGTTGTGGAAGTTGACTGGGAAACATTTGACGGATATTACGAATGCGAGTCGAACACTTTTGCTCGACTTAAAGAAAGTATCGTGGTCAACTGAACTGTGCAAATTCTTTGACATTCCAATGGAGATACTACCTGAGATCCGTTCATCTGCTGAGGTTTACGCGAATATTGAAGAAGGTTTATCCATTGTCTTACAAGTATTCATTTTATTCGATCATTCACTACAATTCCTCGAATGCGCAGTGTGTCCGTTCATTTGCTTGAACGAGTGATAGAACATAAGATTACTTTCTTAGAAAAATTCGAGCAGTAAATTGAAATCCAAGATTTTCTTGACAAATTCATGAGACTTAATTTCTAAGTCCGTGTGAAATTATTTTGCTCGAACATTCACCTCTGAGAGCATTCTGCAAATGATTTCAGCACCTTCATTTCATGATATCAATTCCGATTTCAGGACCTCTCAAGGGAGTGCCCATCTCAGGATGTCTCGGTGATCAACAAGCCGCCTTAGTAGGTCATCAGTGTTTAAAGCCGGGTGATTCGAAGAATACTTACGGTACTGGTACATTCATGTTGTGTAATATTGGATATCGACCGACGATCAGTAAAAATGGCCTACTCACCACTGTTGGATTTCAGGTTCGTGCAAGATAGTCTTTGTCTAGAGGACATTTCAAAATTTTCAAAGAATTCGGATAAATATTGTGTGCAACTTAAATCAGATACTATGAGCGTGAAATTTGTGTAGATAGATATTGCTTGAATTTTCAGTTTGGTCATGGAGCACCCGTGTGTTATGCGTTAGAAGGATCAGGTTCGATAGGTGGCAATGCAGTACGTTTTCTACGAGACAGCCTGACGTTCATTAAGGTCTGAGTGCGAATATACATGATATTTCAATTATTTTGGTGTAATTATAATTTCAAGCTTCGTTGTACACAATTCTGAGTAATTTCGTTGATTAGATTTCAATGATGTTTTAAAAATCATTCTGCCTAAAACATGTAATGATATCAGACTGCTGTCCGCCTTCCAAATTACCACTTCAACGACATGCCGGAATAGTGTGACATACATTGCCCAATAACATTCAACATGCCCAACAGAGTTGCAACTACGATTGCCTTTCGGCTCACCGTGATGATGCGGCAGTATTTCAGAAAGCATCCGATATCGAAGCTTTAGCTGGTTCAGTGAAAGATACGGGTGGTGTTGTGTTTGTACCGTGCTTTACGGGTCTTTATTCACCTTATTGGGATTCGTCAGCTCGTGGTACCATCCTCGGACTAGTACAGTCCACTTCAAAGGCACATATCGCTCGTGCAGCGCTGGAAGCAGTCTGCTTCCAAACTGCGGAAATGATACAAGCCGTAGAAGATGACATGCGAGAAGAGGGTTGCCGAGTTTCTGCACTCAAAGTGAGCATTCAGTCTAATTTATGAACTATTGGTTTGACGGCGAGAACATTCAATTGCGAGTTAACTTTTCGCATGTCACCCACTTAACCGTCTTCATTGGAACAATAACTGACAGTGAGTAGGTAATGCAAACATCAAGTCCATCATTGTCATTACATAAAATGACTCGTTGCACTTCCAACTTTTGCATAAAACGTCAGCAAACAACCATCTGAGCGTGACTTCCGATGTAATCTCACATGACTACCATTCAATGTGAATGACACTTCAAAAGTTACCACAATGAAAAACTTAGAAATAATTCCAGAGATCATAAAATTCCTTGCAGATTGACGGAGGCATGACTGCGAATCACTTGTTCAACCAAATGCAAAGTGATGTGCTAGGCAAGAGGATTATTTGCTCAAAATTAGCCGAAACGACTGGTTGGGGCGCAGCTGTAGCTGCTGCCATTGGAAACCAACTAATCAGGTGCGCACCTCAAACCTTCCAATTCAGTGTCTTACAAAAAGCGCTACCATATGGTAATTACGGGACATACCACAAACTCAATCAACGACCCATGCGAAACCATCTGAGATTATGCTTGGGATTTGTCAGATATAAGATCAAACTCGTAAATGATTAAATGACAATCGCTGGTGTCCAATACGACAAAAAACTCATCATATCAATAGATCATCAGATTAGTCTTCAGTGAGAGCAACCTTGAATCCATGAGTAGTTATATCCAGTCAGTCTTGTCAATTCTCAATGGGCAATTACAGTTTCGAGAAGTATGGAGAACGCGACTTATGTGAGGCTACAGTGTATTCTCCGAAAAGTAGCGCAGAGCAACGGGAGAAAGATATGGTGCGATGGAAAGAAGCCATTAAACGATCACGTAACTGGACTTCATTCTCTGAGACATGATCTCCAATCACATTCCATTCGTTATTTAGCGTTGATGGTCATAGTTCCAATACCGCTAACCCACTGCGATTTTGTATCTATAGGATTAACTCTTCATTATTACTCATCACATTGATAACCCAATGCTCAATTGTACACACAACGAATAGGATTCCTTCACTAACATTGTATNCGATCACGTAACTGGACTTCATTCTCTGAGACATGATCCCCAATCACATTCCACTGGTTATTTAGCGTTGATGGTCATACTTCGAATGCCGCTAACCCACTGCGATTTTGTATCTATAGGATTAACTCTTCATTGTTACTCATCACATTGATAACCCAATGCTCAATTGTACACACAACGAATGGGATTCCTTCACTAACATTGTATATAAGCTAAATTGTGATACTGTATGTGTTGACTGGTTGCTATCAAAACTGCGATATTTTAATTCATAACTACGGTGTAATTTATCAAAAAGTAAATTGTATAAATCGATTCCAACACATCCTCAAAAGCACTTCAGTTTGATGTCCTATGACAATGTCATTCTAACGTCTTGAAACCTTATGCAAGCAGCGCGGAGAGAAGCAAGATCTTAAGCAGAGGCTGAACCACAGAAAACTGGCCCAGCATCAAGCTGGGATATGAACTCTCGAACATGATCACATTATCAAAGGACGAGTGATGCCACACTTATCTGATGGGAATTGACTCCCAATAGGAATTTTGTCTGCATAAATTTCTTAACATCATTCGGTTCTTTCACAAGCACTCAGAAGAGATAATATTTATACTGGCAATGGAAATCAAATTACATAATATCAGAGAAGTTGTGTGAATGCACTATGAACGTGGCACATAGATAAGCTTCGGCGAGTAACCACAAACATCTGAGAGATTTCCCCTTATAATGTATTCAGTAACATTCAAACTAAGTGAAATGATTTCATGTATATAGCCAATGATCAACCCGATGAAATTCCCCCCTGTTAAGGGAAAGTGCGCACGGTGGGTCCGGGAACCCCCGTTACCTGAGCAAATGTCCGAAGACACTACTCAGGCCAACTTACGCGCATGCCCTATCCCCGGTCAAATCGGCGCCTTTCCCGGGCCGGGAACGCCCGTAATACATTTCCAAGAAAGAATGCTAGCGATACTCGGGTAAATACCGCTAGCATATTTTAAGATGTTTCTCCCCGATTCGCCGAGACTGCCGGTAGGCGGGGAACGCCTGTCGCATTTATCTAAACCTAGCCCCTCTTGTCGGCAGCTCGACGGGTTGGGAACACCCAAATGCGCAATAAAATGTTGCATTTTAACATGATCATTGGCTACACACAATCCATCAAAACGACATTAGTCCAACTGCTATCGAATCACACCACGAGGGAGAATGTCTTCGAGTCACTTCTATAGCGACTCGGCTCTTCAGGATGAGTGGTCCAGGCGAACTTTCCAGACCTACTGCCACACCCATAAGACAGTTCATACCCTACGGTATTGAAACTCAAATTTTAACCTAACATGCCAGTGTACCCATTATCCATG